TACGGTGTCAGTGCCTTTTTTTTTTTTTGCAGTGATCACTGAGGAAAAATCTGAAGAATATATTTAAAAAATATATATTTAAAAAAAAAATTTTTTTTAAATATATTCTTCAGATTTTTTTTTAACATATATATAAAAAAAAGTCATTTTAACATATATTTTTAAATATATTTGTAAATGCATTCCAGAAATGTAGATTTGTATCAGTCAAATGTGGGCCACAGCAATTCATACACACAACAATACATGGCTGCCCACCCAAATTCAACTCTTGCCAGACAAATCACATGAAAACCTATCAGTTTCTGAATTTAAAACTTTTTTGGGGCCTAACACTCAACATGGGCATTACAAAAAAGAATCAGAAGAATATATTTTAAAAAAATATTTTTTTTTAAATATTTTTTTTTAAACTATATTCTTCAGATTTTTTTTAACATATGAAAGTCATTTTAACATATATTTTTACATATATTTGTAAATGCATTCCAAAAATGTAGATTTGTATTTTTAAAGACATGCAGTATATTTGAAATGTAATTTTAAAAATATATTTTTATTCTTCAGATTTTTTTTTTAAATAAAAAAGTCATTTTCATTGGGGGGTTGTGGTGGTGGTAAAAGTGCAGCTCAACTGCAGGCATTTAAGCCCCCACAACCGTTAGGTTGTTGGCAAGCAGTTAAAAAACAGTATTACTGTAAATAAGATACTTTTTATTCTGTGATTTGTTCTGTTAAAAATGACACTGAAATCCTGATTCTGGTACAAAGCACTGCAAAGATCCGTGCCGTGAAATAAAGGCTTTTTCTTTTCAATGCTTTTCTTTTTTTTTAATTTTGTGATGCTGCAAAAATAAAAACTTTAAATAAAATCTTAGAAAAACAGAAATAAATTATAGTTAAAGTGTTACTAAACCCCGGAACCTGCATTCACTATATCTGCTCTCCCCAGACCCTGCATTCACTATATCTGGTCTCCCCAGACCCTGCATTCACTATATCTGGTCTCCCTGGACCCTGCATTCACTATATCTGGTCTCCCTGGACCCTGCATTCACTATATCTGGTCTCCCCACCCCGCATTCACTATATCTGCTCTCCCCAGACCCTGCATTTCACTATATCTGGTCTCCCCAGACCCCGCATTCACTATATCTGGTCTCCCTGGACCCCGCATTCACTATATCTGGTCTCCCCGGACCCTGCATTCACTATATCTGGTCTCCCTGGACCCTGCATTCACTATATCCGCTCTCCCCGGATCCTGCATTCACTATATCCGCTCTCCCCGGACCCTGCACTCACTATATCCGCTCTCCCCGGACCCTGCACTCACTATATCCGCTCTCCCCGGACCCCGCATTCACTATATCCGCTTTCCCCGGACACTGCATTCACTATATCTGGTCTCCCCGGACCCTGCATTCACTATATCCGCTCTCTCCCCGGACCCTGCATTCACTATATCCGCTCTCCCCGGGCTCTGCTTTCACTATATCCGCTCTCCCCGGACCCTGCACTCACTATATCCGCTCTCCCCGGACCCTGCATTCGCTATATCCGCTCTCCCCGGACCCTGCATTCACTATTTCCGCTCTCCCCGGACACTGCATTCGCTATATCCGCTCTCCCCGGGCTCCGCATTCACTATATCCGGTCTCCCCGGACCCCGCATTCACTATATCCGGTCTCCCCGGGCCCCGCATTCACTATATCCGGTCTCCCCGGGCCCCGCATTCACTATATCCGCTCTCCCCGGGCCCCGCATTCACTATATCCGCTCTCCCCGGGCCCTGCATTCACTATATCCGGTCTCCCCGGACCCTGCATTCACTATATCCGCTCTCCCCGGACCCCGCATTCACTATATCCCTCTCCCCGGCCCCTGCATTCACTATATCTGCTCTCCCCGGACCCTGCATTCACTATGTCTCCCCGAACCCTCATCACTATATTCCTCCCCGGACCCTGCATTCACTATATCCTGCTCTCCCCGGACCCTCATTCACTATGTGTGGTCTCCCCGACCCTGCATTCACTATATCTGCTTCTCCCTTCCTGGACCCTCCCTGGACCCTGCATTCACTATATACTGCTCTCCCGGACCCTGCAATCACTATATCTGGTCTCCCCGACCCTGCATTCACTATATCTACTCTCCCGGACCCTCTTCACTATATCCGTCTCCCCAGTGCATTCACGATATCCGGTCTCCCAGGACCCTGCATTCACTATATCTGTCTCCCCGAACCCTGCCCATTCACTATATTCGGTCTCCCCGACCCTGCATTCACTATATCCCGCTCTCCCCGGACCCTGCGTTCACTATATCCGCTCTCGCCGGACCCTGACTTCACTATATCTGGTCTCCCCGAACCCCGCATTCACTATATATCTGGTCTCCCGGACCCGCATTCACTATATCTGGTCTCCCCGGACCCTGCGCATTCACTATATCCGCTCTCGCCGGACCCCGCATTCACTATATCTGGTCTCCCACAGTGCACAGAACATGGAAATGCAATTATTTTAGTAAATATAAACTGCTTCTAAATACCTTTTTCTCATCAGCAGTATATAGCAGTATTGTGACTTATATCATTGTCCAGCAGAGCACTGGTTAAAGTTTGTAGGTGGAGTTTTCATTCTCCCTGATTGTCTTCTGAGGCTGCATAACCCCTGACCCTCTGTCTGGACAGTGTTGATTGGCCCTGTGCTGATCACATGCACTCTCCCAAAGAAAAAAAAAACACCAAACTGAGTATGTGCAGCTTGCCCCCAAGGCTCTGTTCTATCAGCAGATGGATTGGGGACAGTAGAAGAAGGGGAGGATCAGAGAAGGGAGGATCAAACAGACTTTTTTACATAATACAGAGGATTAACCCCTTAGGTTCCACAGTGAGTATAACAAGCATGCTTTACTGTATGTACAGACTGATTGTACTGTTGGTGGTTCAGGAACACTTTAGGGGAGACGTGGAAGAAGAGTAATGACAGTTGGTCAGAATAAACGAAGGTATAAAGGGGTTCAATAGGAACTAATTGTATTTAATAAAGAAAGCTTATTCTCTTGTCAGGATACTTTAACTGACATCCTATGGAGATCAACGTTCATCCCTTCTGCAGATGAATGAAACAGAATAGATACAAAAGTAATAATGTTACTTTGTATCTCTATCTCATCTTATCGATGCTTATAAACAATGTTACTTTGTATCTCTATCTCCCGTCTGATCGATGTTTATAAACAATGTTACTTTGCATCTCTATCTCCCGTCTGATCGATGTTTATAAACAATGTTACTTTGTATCTCTCTATCTCCCGTCTGATCGATGTTTATAAACAATGTTACTTTGTATCTCTCTATCTCCCGTCTGATCGATGTTTATAAACAATGTTACTTTGTATCTCTCTATCTCCCGTCTGATCGATGTTTATAAACAATGTTACTTTGTATCTCTCTATCTCCGTCTGATCGATGTTTATAAACAATGTTACTTTGTATCTCTCTATCTCCCTGTCTGATCGATGTTTATAAACAATGTTACTTTGTATCTCTCTATCTCCCTGTCTGATCGATGTTTATAAACAATGTTACTTTGTATCTCTCTATCTCCCGTCTGATCGATGTTTATAAACAATGTTACTTTGTATCTCTCTATCTCCCGTCTGATCAATGTTTATAAACAATTTTACTTTTGTATCTCTTTCTCCGTCGATCGATGTTTTATAAACAGTGTTACTTGTATCTCTCCATCTCCTGTCTGATCAATGTTATATAAACAATGTTACTTTGTATCTCTCTATCTCCTGTCTGATCGATGTTTATAAACAATGTTACTTTGCATCTCTCTATCTCCCGTCTGATTGATGTTTATAAACAATGTTACTTTGTATCTCTCTATCTCCCGTCTGATCGATGTTTATAAACAATGTTACTTTGCATCTCTCTATCTCCCATCTGATTGATGTTTATAAACAATGTTACTTTGTATTTTTCTGTCTTCCGTCTGATCGATGTTTATAAACAATGTTACTTTGTATCTCTCCATCTCCTGTCTGCTCAATGTTTATAAACAATGTTACTTTGTATCTCTCCATCTCCCGTCTGATTGATGTTTATAAACAATGTTACTTTGTATCTCTCTATCTCCCGTCTAATCAATGTTTATAAACAATGTTACTTTGTATCTCTCTATCTCCCGTCTGATAGATGTTTATAAACAATGTTATTTTGTATTTTTCCGTCTCCCGTCTGATCATGTTTATAAACAATGTTACTTTGTATCTCTATCTCCCATCTGGTCAATGTTTATAAACAATGTTACTATGAATCTCTCTATCTCCCATCTGGTCAATGTTTATAAACAAATGTTACTTTGTATCTCTCCGTTGTGCTCCCATCTGATCGATGTTTATAAACAATGTTGCTTTGTATCGCTCCATCTCCTGTCTGATCGATGTTTATAAACAATGTTACTTTGTATCTCTCCATCTCTCGTCTGATCGATGTTTTATAAACAATGTTACTATGTATCTCTCCATCTCCCGTCTGATCGATGTTTATAAACAATGTTACTTGTATCTCTCTATCTCCCGTCTGATCGATGTTTATAAACAATGTTATTTTTTGTATTTTTCCGTCTCCCGTCTGATCAATGTTCATAAACAATGTTACTTTATATCTCTCCATCTCCCATCTGATCGATGTTTTAAACAATGTTACTTTGTATCTCTCTCTATCTCCTGTCTGATCGATGTTTATAAACAATGTTACTTTGTATCTCTCTATCTCCCATCTGATCGATGTTTATAAACAATGTTACTTTGTATCTATTTCCAGTGTGCCTCTTTTCTCTTATACATCTTTCATGAATCTCTCCCACAGATGTCCTTTCCCATACAGCAGCTACCCCCTACGTTCCCTCTCTTTCCTCTCCGGTGGGTGATTGGCTGAGGATTTACCGCCCTCAATGCTGGCTCAGCTGTCAACGATGGCATGGCTGATGAGTGGAAGCAGCTGCAATTCCAGGAGTCTCTCACAGGGGCGCGCTCTCTCCTGGGCTCCATACCCCTGGGGGCCCTGAAGGATGCCTCATATACCCTCGCGGGGCAGCTATGAACCAGCTCCGTATCCTTTCCCAGCTTGTTGATGTCTGTGTGTGACAGGCCCAGCGACACGCTGCAACGGCACCTACAGATGTATAATGACATCATCGATGGAGCAAAGAAGAAAAGTGTTCCATCAGAACATTTCGTTTTTGGATGGAGTAGGAAAGGGTGTCACTGAAATTTCGGTGGCCACAACGTTTCGGCCGAAAAACACCCCTTTTGGCACTCAGCTGAAATGTCAAAAAGCACCAATACAGGTGCCAAAAAATCCCGCCCTCGCCTCTGCCGCCACTGCTTGGTAGTTCTCAGCCTTGCCTGAGATACCCATCGAACGATCCCGGCGCTGGGCATAGAGATGAGTGAAGGGAAGATGGCCTCCGCTCGTCTCTATGCCCTTGGAGGACCACATGATGTCACTTCCTGTTCCAGACATTTTTTTTTAAAAGGACTAGATCAATGCTTTTTTTTTTATCCAAAACTTTACATTGCAGAGGATAGATGTGAGGTCCTATTGACCCCCCGATGTCTCCATAAAGAGGACCTGTCACTAATTATGTCCTATTGACCCCATATCTCTCCATAAAGAGGACCTGTCACTAATTATGTCCTATTGACCCCATATCTATCCATAAAGAGGACCTGTCACTAATTATGTCCCTATTGACCCCATATCTCTCCATAAGAGGACCTGTCACTAATTATGTCCTATTGACCCCATATCTCTCCATAAAGAGGACCTGTCACTAATTAATTCCTATTAACCCCCATATCTCTCCATAAAGAGGACTGTCACTAATTATGTTCTATTGACCCCATATCTCCATAAAGAGGACCTGTCACTAATTATGTCCCTATTGACCCCATATCTCTCCATAAAGAGGACCTGTCACTAATTATGTCCTATTGACCCCATATCTCTCCATAAAGAGGACCTGTCACTAATTATGTCTTATTGACCCATATCTCTCCATAAAGAGGATCTGTCACTAATTATGTCCTATTGACCCCATATCTCTCCATAAAGAGGACCTGTCACTAATTATGTCCAATTAACCCCATATCTCTCCATAAAGAGGACCTGTCACTAATCATGTCTTATTGACCCATATCTCTCCATAAAGAGGACCTGTCACTAATTATGTCCTATTGACCCCATATCTCTCCATAAAGAGGACCTGTCACTAATTATGTTTTATTGACCCCATATCTCTCCATAAAGAGGACCTGTCACTAATCATGTCTTATTGACCCCATATATCTCTCCATAAAGAGGACCTGTCACTAATTAATTCCTATTAACCCCCATATCTCTCCATAAAGAGGACCTGTCACTAATTATTGTTCTATTGACCCCATATCTCTCCATAAAGAGGACCTGTCACTAATTATGTCCTATTGACCCCATATCTCTCCATAAGAGGACCTGTCACTAATTATGTCCTATTGACCCCATATCTCTCCATAAAGAGGACCTGTCACTAATTATGTCCAATTAACCCCATATCTCTCCATAAAGAGGGACCTGTCACTAATCATGTCTTATTGACCCATATCTCTCCATAAAGAGGACCTGTCACTAATTATGTCCTATTGACCCCATATCTCTCCATAAAGAGGACCTGTCACTAATTATGTTTTATTGACCCCATATCTCTCCATAAAGAGGACCTGTCACTAATCATGTCTTATTGACCCCATATCTCTCCATAAAGAGGACCTGTCACTAATTAATTCCTATTAACCCCCATATCTCTCCATAAAGAGGACCTGTCACTAATTATGTCTATTGACCCCATATCTCTCCATAAAGAGGACCTGTCACTAATTATGTCCTATTGACCCCATATCTCTCCATAAAGAGGACCTGTCACTAATTATGTCCTATTAACCCCCATATCTCTCCATAAAGAGGACCCGCACTAATTATATCCTATTGACCCCATATCTCTCCATAAAGAGGGACCTGTCACTAATCATGTCTTATTGACCCATATCTCTCCATAAAGAGGACCTGTCACTAATTATGTCCTATTGACCCCATATCTCTCCATAAAGAGGACCTGTCACTAATCATGTCTTATTGACCCCATATCTCTCCATAAAGAGGACCTGTCATAATTATGTCACTAATTATGTCCTATTGACCCCATATCTCTCCATAAAGAGGACCTGTCACTAATTATGTTTTATTGACCCCATATCTCTCCATAAAGAGGACCTGTCACTAATCATGTCTTATTGACCCCATATCTCTCCATAAAGAGGACCTGTCACTAATCATGTCTTCTTGACCCCATATCTCTCCATAAAGAGGACCTGTCACTAATTATGTCCTATTGACCCCATATCTCTCCATAAAGGAGGACCTGTCTATTGCCCTAATTATGTCCTATTGACCCCATATCTCTCCATAAAGAGGACCTGTCACTAATTATGTCCTATTGACCCATATCTCTCCATTAAAGAGGACCTGTCACTAAACATGTCTTATTGACCCCATATCTCTCCATAAAGAGGACCTGTCACACTAATTATGTCCTATTGACCCCATATCTCTCCATAAAGAGGACCTGTCACTAATTATTTCCTATTGACCCCATATCTCTCCATAAAGAGGACCTGTCACTAATTTATGACCTATTGACCCCATATCTCTCCATAAAGAGGACCTGTCACTAATCATGTCCTTATTGACCCATATCTCTCCATAAAGAGGACCTGTCACTAATTATGTCCTATTGACCCCATATCTCTCCATAAAGAGGACCTGTCACTAATTTGACCCCATGTGTCCTATTGACCCCATATCTCTCCATAAAGAGGACCCCGCCACTAATTATATCCTATTGACCCCATATCTCTCCATAAAGAGGACCTGTCACTAATTGTGTCTATTGACCCCATATCTTTCCATAAAGAGGACCTGTCACTAATTTATTTCCTATTAACCCCATATCTCTCCATAAAGAGGACCTGTCACTAATTAATTCCTATTAACCCCCATATCTCTCCATAAAGAGGACCTGTCACTAATTATTTCCTATTGACCCCATATCTCTCCATAAAGAGGGACCTGTCACTAATCATGTCTTATTGACCCATATCTCTCCATAAAGAGGACCTGTCACTAATTATGTCCTATTGACCCCATATCTCTCCATAAAGAGGACCTGTCACTAATTAATTCCTATTAACCCCCATATCTCTCCATAAAGAGGACCTGTCACTAATTATGTTCTATTGACCCCATATCTCTCCATAAAGAGGACCTGTCACTAATTATGTCCTATTGACCCCATATCTCTCCATAAAGAGGACCTGTCACTAATTATGTCCTATTAACCCCCATATCTCTCCATAAAGAGGACCCGCCACTAATTATATCCTATTGACCCCATATCTCTCCATAAAGAGGACCTGTCACTAATTATGTCTTATTGACCCCATATCTCTCCATAAAGAGGACCTGTCACTAATTATGTCCTATTTGACCCCATATCTCTCCATAAAGAGGACCTGTCACTAATTATGTCCTATTGACCCCATATCTCTCCATAAAGAGGACCTGTCACTAATCATGTCTTATTGACCCCATATCTCTCCATAAAGAGGACCTGTCACTAATTATTTCCTATTGACCCATATCTCTCCATAAAATGAGGACCTGTCACTAATTATGTCCTATTGACCCCATATCTCTCCATAAAGAGGACCTGTCACTAATTATTTCCTATTGACCCCATATCTCTCCATAAAGAGGACCTGTCACTAATTATGTCCTATTGACCCCATATCTCTCCATAAAGAGGACCTGTCACTAATCATGTCTTATTGACCCCATATCTCTCCATAAAGAGGACCTGTCACTAATTATTTCCTATTGACCCCATATCTCTCCATAAAGAGGACCTGTCACTAATTATGTCCTATTGACCCCATATCTCTCCATAAAGAGGACCTGTCACTAATTATGTCCTATTGACCCCATATCTCTCCATAAAGAGGACCTGTCACTAATCATGTCTTCTTGACCCCATATCTCTCCATAAAGAGGACCTGTCACTAATTATGTCCTATTGACCCCATATCTCTCCATAAAGAGGACCTGTCACTAATTATGTCCTCTTGACCCCATATCTCTCCATAAAGAGGACCTGTCACTAATTATGTCCTATTGACCCCATATCTCTCCATAAAGAGGACCTGTCACTAATCATTTCTTATTGACCCCATATCTCTCCATAAAGAGGACCTGTCACTAATTATTGTCCTATTGACCCCATATCTCTCCATAAAGAGGACCTGTCACTAATTATTTTCCTATTGACCCCATATCTCTCCATAAAGAGGACTGTTCACTAATTATGTCCTATTGACCCCATATCTCTCCATAAAGAGGACCTGTCACTAATCATGTCTTATTGACCCCATATCTCTCCATAAAGAGGACCTGTCACTAATTATGTCCTATTGACCCCATATCTCTCCATAAAGAGGACCTGTCACTAATTATGTCCTATTGACCCCATATCTCTCCATAAAGAGGACCCCGCCACTAATTATATCCTATTGACCCCATATCTCTCCATAAAGGGACCTGTCACTAATTGTGTCTTATTGACCCCATATCTTTCCATAAAGAGGACCTGTCACTAATTATTTTCCTATTAACCCCATATCTCTCCATAAAGAGGACCTGTCACTAATTGTGTCTTATTGACCCCATATCTTTCCATAAAGAGGACCTGTCACTAATTAATTCCTATTAACCCCCATATCTCTCCATAAAGAGGACCTGTCACTAATTATTTCCTATTGACCCCATATCTCTCATAAAGAGGACCTGTCACTAATTATGTCCTATTGACCCCATATCTCTCCATAAAGAGGACCTGTCACTAATCATGTCTTATTGACCCCATATCTCTCCATAAAGAGGACCTGTCACTAATCATGTCTTATTGACTCCATATCTCTCCATAAAGAGGACCTGTCACTAATTATGTCCTATTGACCCCATATCTCTCCATAAAGAGGACCTGTCACTAATTATGTCCTATTGACCCCATATTCTCTCCATAAAGAGGACCTGTCACTAATTATGTCTTATTGACCCCATATCTCTCCATAAAGAGGACCTGTCACTAATTATGTCCTATTGACCCCATATCTCTCCATAAAGAGGACCTCTGTCACTAATCATGTCCTATTGACCCCATATCTCTCCATAAAGAAGACCTGTCACTAATTATGTCCTATTGACCCCATATCTCTCCATAAAGAGGACCTGTCACTAATTATGTCCTATTGACCCCATATCTCTCATAAAGAGGACCTGTCACTAATTATGTCCTATTGACACCATATCTCTCCATAAAGAGGACCTGTCACTAATTATGTCCTATTGACTCCATATCTCTCCATAAAGAGGACCCTGTCACTAATTATTTCCTGTTGACCCCATATCTCTCCATAAAGAGGACCTGTCACTAATTATGTCCTATTGACCCCATACCTCTCCATAAAGAGGACCTGTCACTAATTATTTCCTATTGACCCCATATCTCTCCATTAAGAGAACCTGTCACTAATTATTTCCTGTTGAACCCATATCTCTCCATAAAGAGGACCTGTCACTAATTATTTCCTATTAACCCCCATAGCTCTCCATAAAAGAGGACCTGTCACTAATTATTTCTATCACAAAGGATGCATGCATTTCTTGTGATAATAAAAGTCATTACATTTTTTTTTTTAAAAACAGTGCAAAAATAAAAAAAAACTAAATAAAATATGTAACCACTTTCTGTCCGGCCCATGTATATAAACGGCCAGACGGAAGCAGTGCAGGGTCAGGTGGCCATTTATAAACGTCTTCCTGCTCCCCTGCCTGTACACACTCCCCAGGAGCGCGCAGCACCACGATTCGGACACAGTGGAACACTGATCGCTGTACGGAACCTCTGTGTGAGGTCCTGATCATGTGATCACTGATTGGCCAATCAGTGATCACATGAATAGTAGTAAGCAAGATGTCACTTCTGACATCACTGCTTACTACATGTGAAATCTGTGAATGATTACAGAGGTCACATGGTACAGGGCTATTCACATTTGCCTTGTACCATGTGACAAGGAGAAATTATTGCTTTTACAGACTTTATGGGTATAAAAGCAATCAGTGCTAAAAAAAAAGTCACCATAGTGACACTGTACTGCTAGGGTGACAGTATGTTAAAAAAAAAATAAAAAAATAAAAAAAAACATAAATAATAATTTAAAAAAAATAAAAATGTCAAAAAATGTTTTTTAAATTATAATTCTTGGTTATAAACTAATCTGGGTTATTTTTTTTTAGTGAAAAGATAGATGAATACATTTTGGCTAAGATGTAGGAAGAAAGATTATTTATTATATTATTAATATAAAGATATATTATAAAGATTATTTATAATTATTATTATTATTAAGAAAAACACTTTTTTTTTTCAAAATGTTTGGAAATCCCGGTGGTGAATAAATACCGCCAAAATAAAGTTTTATCTGTCTCAAAAAAATGATAAACAAATTTATATGGATACAGTGTTGCATTACCGCGCAATTGTCATTCAAAGTGTGATAGCGCTGAAAATTGACCTGGGCAGGAAGGGGGTGAAAGTGTCCGGACTGGAAGTGGTTAAAGTCCCCTTGTGCTCGCACGTAGTGGTGAACGCATACGTAGGCCACGCCCACATATGTAAACGTTGTTCAAACCACACATGTGAGGTATCGCCACGAACGTCGGGGGAAGAGCAATATATCTCACACTAGACCTCCTCTTTAACTTTACACTTCTAACCTGTAGAAATGTTTTAAGCATCACTCGAGCTGTTTTAAGTACCGCAGTTTAACGCCATTCCACGGGCGTGCGCAATTTTAAAGCGTGACATGTTTGGTATCTATGTACTCTCCGTAACATTCTCTTTCATATTTTCCAAACATTTTGGGTATATATTGGTTTTTTTTTTTGTTTATTTAATCAAAGTGTATTTTTTTCCAAAAAATATATATTCATTTTTAAAACTGCGCATTTCGGTTTTCGTCCAAGTGCATTTTGAATTTCCGTTTTCGGCACCAGAATTTTTATTTCAGTGCACCACTAATGCTAATTTATTATCGTGGGGTTCGGTGTGAATCATGGAGTTGGATGCTGTGGTTAAGGCAGTTGATGCACACCAAGGGGCCCTGGAAGGCGGGGGGGGGGGGGGGGCACTCCAGCAGAAGTCAGTATGTATAAAACAAAGTAAGTGCCAAACCAGTAGTGGGGAAGTCTTAAATTCTAAAGTTTATTATGTTTAAAGTTTTATTTGGAATGACAACAGATGTTCTATCCAACGCGTTTCAGAGGCGACCAAAGTCCCCCTTCATCAGGGCTGAAAGGATACAGACAGTTGATTAGCCCCTTCCAGTCCGGACACTTTCCCCCCTTCCAGTCCGGACACTTCCCCCCCCCCCCCCCCCCCCTTCCAGTCCAGGCCAATTTTCAGCTTTCAGCGCTATGACACTATGGGTGACAAATACGCGGTCATGCAACACTGTACCCATATGAATTTTTTAGCATTTTTTTTGAGACTGCTAAAACTTTATTTTGGTAGTATTTGTTCACCACTGGGATTTAAATTTTATTGTTATATAAATGAAAAAGTCCAAATAATTTAAAAAAAGTGTTTTTCTTATAAAATTTTGCAAATAAATATTTTTTATTCATAATCCTTGTCCAAAATGTATTCAGCTATCTTTTTAGTAAAAAAAAAAAACCCATATTAGTTTATAACCAAAAATTATAATTTTTCAAAACATTTTTTTTTTTACATTTTTATTTATATTTGTTTATATATATATATATATATATAATATAGTAACATTGAACTACTCTGGGAAGTGATTAGGATTTATTTTTATTTTTTTTTTAGACATGATTGCTGATACCAATGCATTGATATTTGCAATCATTGTTACTGAATGAAACTGATGAATTCAGTCTTTTGTTGTGATTAGCTGTGATTGTGATACAGATGGGCTGTGATTGGCCCTGTCTGTACCATGTGACTGCGTTGACCAATCACAGCTAACAACACAATTGTATACAATGGATGGCATGACAGGAAGTAATCCATTGTATACAAGTGACGTGATCTGCTGTGATTGGTCACAGCGATCACATGACACTGGCAACGGGCCAGTTTTGTGATATGTCATCGGCTGTGTCCCATGGACTCATATTATCAAGTGATTGGACACTGGCATGCTTTTGAGGATGCCTACTCTGGGATTCCTTCTCTATAACCCTACCCCACTCCATGGGTCTTTAGTTTTTAGCTAGTCTCTGTAGATGATGGACCTCTTCTTCTTCGTGAAGACCCCAGCTTCACTAGTTTATTATTTTTCTTCTGAATCTTCAGTCAACCTTTCCAGTCTTCTAAGCATACACAGAAGTAGTATACTTGGATCGGTGCAACTTTGGTAGACCCTCAGGACCTGTACCCAGACCCCTCGCTTAGGGATGGCCTGTAACGTTGCTTCGGGCACTGGATCCTGCATGGAGTATTTTCCTTAGCACTTGGGTTAACATGTTGAGTTAGCCTCAGAGTGCTACACAGGTCCATGGCCAAGGTCCATCACAATGGAACCAAGTCCCTGAAGATGTGCCCACCATGATGAATTTACCTGTCTACTATGCTGGACTGTATATAGAGTCCAGGCTTCGCCCGTCATGGTGGGCGTATCTTCCAAGACTGGGTTCCATTGCGATGGACCTCATGAACCTGTATTTCTGATCATTGCTGTCTGCTTGTAGGAGATGAGTTTCAAACAAGATACTCCGTGTAACTGATCGATATCTGCTCAGTGTGATCCATTGATGGAGTTTTATATCTTCGGTGTGCCGGTGATCCTTAGCAACAAGTCAGACTTTCAGCAGATACTTGTGAAGCCCTCCAGAGTGAAGGTTAAAGGAAAACCGGCCGAGTTTGACCTCCAACAGAGAGTCCTACAAGTCAGCACTGGGGCATTTGACGACAGTAGGTTTGAGATGTATCTAAGGTCAAATGTTTTATGATGTGATGCAACATTGACCACTGTCCCCTCATTCCATTTCAAGAATTACCTTTCGACCTGCCTGGATGCATACAGAAATTGGTGATCTTTGAAGTTACAAGCTCATGCTAGTGCATTTTGCAAGCTTGGCTTTTGGTCCTTTTAGTCATCTGACCAGCAGAACAGGATAGCGCAGAGTTTTGAAGGGGAGTGTTCAGTCAGCACTGGGAGATCCCCATCAGACTGCATCTGTATGGAAAGTTGACAACTGGCAGCACCAGTATGGCCGACCAGTGTCATTTAGAGTAAATCTAGTTCTAAGTATGCCACTTGGAGTACTTTACTTTAATTTCCTACATCTACTTTAAGGTGAATGATTTTTAGATGGGTTTCAGGGACAAGCAGTCTGTGCACTAGGGACAATGGGACAGCAAGTTCCAGGTACAGGACTACATGGTGTACATGGGATTCCAGGGATGGGAGGACTACTTGTTGGGTTCCAGAGACTGGAAGAATGCTTGTGCATGGGGTTCCAGGGAAAGAAAGACTGTGTTGAGTCACAAGACTGCATATGCATGCATGTGTGTGGGTTCCACGGTCAGGAGGTCTACGTGTGAATGGGGTTTTGGGGAGCAGAAGATTTTATGCCAGAGGTTCTGCGTGTGAAATGAATTTCAGGGACAGGAAGACATCTAGGTTCCAGAGACAGGAAAACTACAAATGCATTGGATTCCAGGGACAGAAAGACTGCTTGTTGGATTCCAGGGACAGAAAGACTGAGTGTTGGATTCCAGGGACAGGAAGACTGCGTGCTGGGTTCCAGGGACAGAAAGACTGCATGTTGGGTTCCAGGGACAGGAAGACTGCTTGTTGGGTTCCAGGGACAAAAAGACTGCATGTTGATTTCTAAGGACAGGAAGACTGTGTTGAGTTCCAGGGACAGGAAAACTGTGTGTTGGGTTCCAGGGACAGAAATAATGCGTGTTAGATTCCAGGGTCAAGAAAACGGCATGTTGGATTCCAGGAACAGGAAAATTGCGTGTTGGGTTCCAGGGACATGAAAACTGCATGTTGGGTTCCAGGGACAGGAAAACTGCATGTTGGGTTCTAGGGACAGGAAGACTGCGTGTTGGGTTCTAGGGACAGGAAGACTGTGTGTTGAGGTCCAGGGACAGGAAGACTGCGTGTTGGGTTCCAGGGACAGGAATACTGCGTGTTGGGTTCCAGGGACAGGAAGACTGCGTGTTGGATTCCAGGAACAGGAAGACTGCGTGCTGGGTTCCAGGGACAGAAAGACTGCATGTTGGGTTCCAGGGACAGGAAGACTGCTTGTTGGGTTCCAGGGACAAAAAGACTGCATGTTGATTTCTAAGGACAGGAAGACTGTGTTGAGTTCCAGGGACAGGAAAACTGTGTGTTGGGTTCCAGGGACAGAAATAATGCGTGTTAGATTCCAGGGTCAAGAAAACGGCATGTTGGATTCCAGGAACAGGAAAATTGCGTGTTGGGTTCCAGGGACATGAAAACTGCATGTTGGGTTCCAGGGACAGGAAAACTGCATGTTGGGTTCTAGGGACAGGAAGACTGTGTGTTGAGGTCCAGGGACAGGAAGACTGCGTGTTGGGTTCCAGGGACAGGAAGACTGCGTGTTGGGTTCCAGGGACAGGAAGACTGCGTGTTGGGTTCCAGGGACAGGAAGACTGCGTGTTGGGTTCCAGGGACAGGAAGACTGCGTGTTGGGTTCTAGGGACAGGAAGACTGCGTGTTGGGTTCTAGGGACAGGAAGACTATGTGTTGAGGTCCAGGGACAGGAAGACTGTGTGTTGGGTTCCAGGGACAGGAATACTGCATGTTGGGTTCCAGGGACAGGAAGACTGCGTGTTGGGTTCCAGGGACAGGAAGACTGTGTGTTGGGTTCCAGGGACAGGAAGACTGTGTGTTGGGTTCCAGGGACAGGAAGACTACGTGTTGGGTTCCAGGGACAGGAAGACTGCGTGTTGGCTTCCAGAAACAGGAATACTGCGTGTTGGGTTCCAGAGACAGGAAGACTACATGTTGGGTTCCAGGGACAAGAAGACTGCGTGTTGGGTTCCAGGGACAGGAAGACTGCGTGTTGGCTTCCAGAAACAGGAAGACTGCGTGTTGAGTTCCAGGGACAGGAAGACTGCGTGTTGGGTTCCATGGACAGGAAGACTGCGTGTTGGGTTCCAGGGACAGGAAGACTGCGTGTTGGATTCCAGGGACAGGAAGACTGCATCTTGGATTCCAGGGACAGGAAGACTGCGTGTTGGGTTCCAGGGACAGTATGACTGTGCGTTGGGTTCCAGGGACAGGAAGATTGCGTGTTGGGTTCCAGGGACAGGAAGATTGCGTGTTGGGTTCCAGGGACTGGAAGACTGCGTGTTGGGTTCCAGGGACAGGAAGACTGCGCGTTGGGTTCCAGGGACAGGAAAACTGCGTGTTGAGTTCCAGGGACAGGAAGATTGTACTGTACTTTGGGTTCCAGGAACAGGAAGACTGCATGTTGGATTCCAGGGACAGGAAGACTGCGTGTTGGGTTCCAGGGACAGGAAGACTGCGTGTTGAGTTCCAGGGACAGGAAGACTGCGTGTTGGGTTCCAGAGAAAGGAGGACTGCGTGTTGGGTTCCAGGGACAGGAAGATTGTACTGTACTTTGGGTTCCAGGGACAGGAAATCTTTTTCTTGGGGCTGTATGAAAGCAGACTGTAACTGTTTCTCCTTCAGATGGAGTAAGATGGCCCCTCCTGCTGTAGATTTCAGCTCCGCTTTTCTTGTTGCTTTCTCTGCAGTTTACGTTGGTGTTCGATCTGCATACAATTTGGCCACATGGAGTTTTTCAGCTGATGATCCACCCAGACCTCTCTGTGTTGTGAGAACGAAGACGCCCAGCACCTGCATCAATGTCAGGTATGTCAGAAGTTGCTTCACTTTCTGTGTCAGTCTGCTGGGGGCCAAAGACTGAGTGGGGCCCTGGAAGTACTGCTCGGGGGAAGTTATGGCGTCTGGAGGAGACCCGCGAACATATGATGTGCTTTGTATATATCCAGTACAGACAGGAGATACATACACGGCTCAAAAATAAAATGAAAGGAAGACTTTGAAAACCCATCAGATCTCAATGGGGAGAAATCTCCTGCTGGATCTCTATACTGACATGGACGGGGGATGGGTGAGGAACATAAGGACGCCCCATCGTTCTTTGGAAATTAAAATGATCGACCTACAGAGGGCTGGATTCAAAGACACCCCGAAAATCAGAGTGAAAAAATGAAGCAGCAGGCGGGTCCATTTTGCTGAAATGTCATTGCAGCAACTCAAAATGGTTCTCAGTAGTTTGTATGGCCCCCACGTGCTTGTATGCATGACAACATTGGGGGGAGGCTCCTAATGAGACCACGGATGGTGTCCTGGGGGATTTCCTCCCAGATCTGGACCAGGGCATCACTGAGCTCCTGAACAGTCTGAGGTGGAACCTGGCTGCGTCGGATGGACCGAAACATGACATCCCAGAGGTGTTCTATTGGATTCAGGTCAGGAGTGTGTGTGGGGCCATTCAATGGTATAAATTCCTTCATCCTCCAGGAACTGCCGGCATACTCTCCCCACATGAGGCCGGGCATTGCCATGCACCAGGAGGAACCCAGGACCCCCTGCACCAGGAGGAACCCAGGACCCCCTGCACCAGGAGGAACCCAGGACCCCCTGCACCAGGAGGAACCCAGGACCCACTGCACCAGTGTAGGGTCTGACAATGGGTCCAAGGATTTCATCCCAATACCTAATGGCAGTCAGGGTGCCATTGTCTAGCCTGTAGAGGTCTGTGTGTCCCTCCATGGAGATGCCTCCCCAGACCATCACTGACCCACCACCAAAGCGGTCATATTGAACGATGTTACAGGCAGCAGAATGTTCTCCACGGCTTCTCCAGACCCTTTCATGTCTGTCACATGTGCTCAGGGTGAACCTGCTGTCATCTGTGAAAAGCACAGGGTGCCAGTGGTGGACCTGCAAGTTCTAGTGTTAAGTGGCAAATGGCAATCGAGGACTATGGTGCTGGCAGTGAGCACAGGGCCCACTAGAAGACGGACCCTCAAGCCATCCTCATGACGTCTGTTTCTGATTGCTTGGTCAGAGACATTCACACCAGTGGCCTGTTGGAGGTCATTTTGTAGGGCTCTGGCAGGGCTCATCCTGTTCCTCCTTGCACAAAGGAGCAGATACCGGTCCTGCTGATGGATTAAGGACCTTCTATGGCCCTGTCCAGCTCTCTTAGAGTAACTGCCTGTCTCCTGGAATCTCCTCCATGCTCTTGTCTCCTGGAATCTCCTCCATGCTCTTGAGACTGTGCTGGGAGACACAGTAAACCTTCTGGTAATGGCACGTATTGATGTGCCATCCTGGAGGAGTTGGACTGCCTGTGCAATCTCTGTAGGGTCCAGGTATGGCCTCATGCTACCAGTAGTGACACTGACCCTAGCCAAATGCAAAACGAGTGAAAAGCAGTGAGAAAAGATGAGTAGAGAAAAAAATATCAGTGGCCTCCACCTGTAAAACCATTCCTGTTTTGGGGGTCATCTCATTGCTGCCCATCTAGTGCACCTGTTGTTAGTTATTCTGGCTGAAAAAAAGACAAAAAGTCCATCCAGTTCAACCATTAATAAAAAAAAGTTATAATCCTACACTCACAGTTGATCCAGAGGAAGAAAAATAAACTCAGCAAAGCACAATTCAATTTGCTCCTACAAGGGAAACAATTCCTTCCTGATCCCCCGAGAGGCAATCAGATATTCCCTGGATCAACTTTACCTATAAATGTTATATCCAGTTATATTCTGTGTAGCCAAGAAAGAATCCAGGACTTTCCTACAGCAATCCACTGAGCTGGCCACAACCAACTCCTGAAGAAGTCTATTCCACATTCTCACAGCTCTTACTGTGAAGAAACCTTTCCGTGTTTGGAGATTAAATCTCTTTTCCTCCAGACGTAAGAGTGCCCCCTTGTCCTCTGTGATGACCTCAGGGGGAATAATTACACCGAGTTCACTATATGAACCACTGATGTATTGGAGATCATATCCCCCCCTTATGTATTATACATGGAGATCATATCCCCCCTTATGTATTATACATGGAGATCATATCCCCCCTTATGTATTATCCCCCTTATATATACATGGAGATCATATCCCCCCTTATGTATTATACATGAAGATCATATCCCCCCTTATGTATTATACATGGAGATCATATCCCCCCTTATGTATTATACATGGAGATCATATCCCCCCCCCCCCCCCCCTTATGTATTATACATGGAGAGATCATATCCCCCCTTATGTATTATACATGGAGATCATATCCCCCCTTATGTATTATACATGGAGATCATATCCCCCCTTATGTATTATGGACATATCCCCCTTATGTATTATACATGTGATCATATCCCCCCCCCCCCTTATGTATTATACATGGAGATCATATCCCCCCTTATGTATTATACATGGAGATCATATCCCCCCCTTATGTATTATACATGGAGATCATATCCCCCCTTATGTATTATACATGGAGATCATATCCCCCCTTATGTATTATACATGGAGATCATATCCCCCCTTATGTATTATACATGGAGATCATATCCCCCTTATGTATTATACATGGAGATCATATCCCCCCTCCCCCCTTATGTATTATACATGGTGATCATATCCCCCCTTATGTATTATACATGGAGATCATATCCCCCCTTATTATACATGGTATTATACATGGAGATCATATCCCCCCCCCCCCCTTATGTATTATACATGGAGATCATATCCCCCCCCCCCCCCCCCCTTATGTATTATACATGGAGATCATATCCCCCCTTATGTATTATACATGGTGATCATATCCCCCTTATGTATTATACATGGAGATCATATCTCCCCCCCCCTTATGTATGTATTATACATGGAGATCATATCCCCCCTTATGTATTATACATGGAGATCATATCCCCCCCTTATGTATTATACATGGTGATCATATCCCCCCTTATGTATTATACATGGAGATCATATCCCCCTTAAACAGTAGAGAATACATTCAGTTCCTCTAATCTTTCCTCATAGCTGATCTCCTCCATGCCTCTTATCAGTTTGGTTGCCCTTCTCTGTACTTTCTCCAGTTCCCCAATGTTCTTTTTGTAAATTGGTACCCAAAATTGAACTGCATATTCCAGATGAGGTCTCACTAATGATTTGTACTTGGGGGGGGGGGGGGGGGGGGGGGATTATATAGTTTCTCTCTGAAGTCTATACCTCTCCTAATACAAGAGAGGATTTTGCTCTCTTTAGAACCCGCAGCTTGGCATTGCTGCCATTATTAAGCTTGTGATCTACCAGAACCCCTAGATCCTTCTCCACCAATGACCCCCCAGATCCTTCTCCACCATTGAACCCCCCCCAGATCCTTCACCATTGAACCCCCCAGATCCTTCACCATTGGTTCCCCCAGGTGTACCCCCCCAGTATGTATGATGCATGCATATTCTTAGCCCCCAAGTGCAGAACCTTATATTTATCAACATTAAACCTCATTGGCCCCATAGTTCCCCAATTACACAGAGCATTGAGGTCGGCTTGTAAGTTGGAGACATCCTGTAAGGACGTTATTCCGGCACAGCTTGGTGTCATCTGCAAAGACTGAAATTTATAATCCCAGACCCTATATTATTTATAAATATATTAAAAAGTAAGGGTCCCAACACTGAACCTTGGGGTACCCCACTAATAACACTGACCCTTGGAGTACCCCACTAATAACACTGAGTCTTGGGGTACCCCACTAATAACACTGAACCTTGGGGTGCACCACTGTCAACCCTAGTCCATTCAGAGTATGAATCATTAGCTTTTACCTGACACATTAGCCGTATGTAGGGAATAGGTTTGATTTTTCACCTTTTAAGCTTTTTGCCCATGGGAATATATTTTGAAGTGTGTTTACATACAGTCTTTTTGAAGAACTCCTCAGCCTTGGAAAATTAGCTCTCTCAAAATTGAGTGCTTTTATTTTGCCCGTATGTGCTTGCTGTTTACAGCTAACAATAAACAAAATCATATTATGGTCACAGCTACCCAGATGTTCTTTTAGATGGACATTCGTAATAAGCTCTGCATGGTTTGAGATTACCAGGTCCAGCAGAGCATCATTCCTAGTTGGGGCCTCTATGAACTGTAGCATAAAATTGTCCTGTAGTAGGTTTAAAAATGTTTGCCCTTTAACTGTTCCTGCAGTACCATTACTCCAGTTAATTTCCGGGTAGTTAAAGCAGAGCTCCACCCAAAAGGGGAAGTTCCTCTTTAAGCCATTGCCCGCCGACCCCATAAAGAATTGGCACCTTGGGGGAGCGGGTACCCGAATTTGACAGGTACCTGCTCCCACTTCCGCTGCGATCGCCTAGGCAATTGGAAGCGGAAGTTGTCCTCCTACCCTCCCTCCCTGTAGTCTTCTGGGACACATGACAGGTCCCAGAAGACTACGTGGCCATCCACAAAGTGCAGTGCTTCTCGCGCATACCCAGTGGGCACCTGGCTGTGAAGCCGCAAACTGTCACAGCCGGGTACCCATGCTGAAGGTGCCGACGCCAGATAGAGAAGACGGCTGGTGAAACCAGCGGTTGTGAGGACACCTCTGGACCGAGGGACAGGGAAGGGTCTGTATTTTAAAAGTCAGCAGATACAGTATTTGTAGCTGTTGACTTTCATTTTTTTTTTTCCCAGGTGGAACTCCGCTTTAAAATCCCCCATTATTATCACTGTCCCAGCCCTTGCAGCCCCTTCGATCTGTGCAAGAAGCTGAGTCTCCACCTCCTCAATAACACTGGGAGGCCTATAACAAACTTCAATGATCACCTTTGTAGTACGCACCCCATGTGCAGTTCCACCCATAATACTTCAGCCTCATCACACTCTCCATCAACTAGGTCCTCTTTCACACTCGCTCTAAGATCACTTCTCACATAGAGACAGACACCACCACCTTTCCTATTTACCCCGTCTCTCTGAAAGAGAACCTAGCCAGGAATATGAATGGCCCAGTCATGCGAAGAATGAAGCCAAGATTCGACAATACCAATTCAATCCTCGTTCTCTTCATGCACCAAACCTTCCAACTCACCTATTTTGCTTGGCAGACATCTGGCATTGGTGAACAAACACTTTAATCCATTGACACCTTGTGTACACGTATTTTGCATATTTTTTATTTTCATATAAATGGTACCAATTCCACTGGTTGTGTGTAACATGAGAACCTTCTTATCTGCCATAGCCCTCCCCCCATCTTTCCCCATTCCACCCATCAATAAATACTGACCCCTGTCTGATCTGTCTGCCCCATTATAATCTAATTCTCCCTCCCCCCCATCCTAGTTTAAATATTCCTCCAGCCTTCCCATAAACCTCTCCCCCAGCACAGCAGACTCCCTTCCATTTAGGTGGAGACCATCTCTAGCATATAGGTTGCACCCCACTGAAAAGTCAGCCCAGTCCTTCCCTCTTACACCAGGTCTTCAGCCATGCATTGAGTTCTCTAATCTCCCCGTCTTTCCTGAGTTGCGCATATCACAGGTAATATTTCAGAGAATATTTCATTAGTTCCAAAGCAGCTGAAACTGATTAACAACCCCCTCTGCTACTTAACTGACCAGATCAATATCCCAGGAGTTTAATTTACTTGATGCACAGCTGTACCGGATTCTGAGTGCATCAGTTTTAGTGATTCTATCCCATTGTGTGTCATGTATCTGTGTATAGAATGTATCCAGTCATGTCCTTGTGTCCCCTATGTATAGTGTCCCCCTTCGGTAATATTGGTTCCTCTTCTCTTGCAGCCCTCACGTTCCCGGAGAACTCTGCGTCTGTACAGAGAGTGGTAGACTGTACCTGTGGAACTTGGAGCGGGGGTAAATATCTATAGTACTGCCTGAAGGTTCTTGCCTTTTTGTTGCTTTCCTAGTACTCCTCCATGATTCAAGATCACCTGCTCTCCAGCTTTACACTGACATCACCAACCATTATCCTGCTACCTTCCTCTTCATCCTCATCTTTTTCCATAATCAGCCAGTGGTCAGTATCATCACCACCAATCTTCCCTACCACCTCCATTATGCTTTCTGGAAGCCAGTGTCTCTATTGACCACAGTGCTGTCCTTTCTGAGACAGATCAGCTCCCATTCTGTTTGCTACAATCAACTCTAAATATACCTTCTCCATCTCTAGTCTACATCGGGCTCCAGATCTGATTCTTCTATCTCCTAGTCTACTATGAGCTCCAGATCTGCTGCCTCTATCTCTAGTCTATATTGGGCTCCAGATCTGCTTCTTTTGTTCAGTCTACTATCAGCTCCAGATCTGCCTCCTCTGTCCCTCTATCTCTAGTCTACTATGAGCTCCATGTCTGCCTCCTCTATCCCTAGTCTACTATGAGCTACAATTCTGCATTTTCTACCTCTAGTCTACTTTTCAGCCCCATATCTGCCCCATTTGTTCAGTCTACTATCAGCTCTAGATCTGCCCTCCCCCTATCTCTAGTCTACAGTTAGCTCCAGATCTGCCTCCTCTATCTGTATTTTATGAGCTCCAGATTTGCCTCCACTATCTCTCATCTACAATCAGCTCCAGATCTGCCTAGTGTACTATCAGCTCTAGATCTGCCTCCTATATCTCTAGTTCATGAGCTCCAGATCTGCCTCCTCTTATCTCTAGTCTACAATCGGCTCCTGATCTGCCTCCTCTATCTCTCATCTACAATCAGCTCCTGATCTGCCTCCCCTATCTCTCGTCTACAATCAGTTCCAGATCTGCCTCCTATATCTCTAGTCCATGAGCTCCAGATCTGCCTCCTGTTATCGCTCATCTAAAATCAGCTCCAGATCTGCTTCCTATATCTCTAGTCCATGAGCTCCAGATCTGCCTCCTCTTATCTCTAGTCTATGAGTTCCAGATCTGCCTCCACTATCTCTCGTCTACAATCAGCTCCAGTTCTGCCTCTTATATCTCTAGTCCATGAGCTCCAGATCTGCCTCCTCTTATCTCTAGTCTACCACCAGCTCCAGATCTGCCTCATCTCTGGCCAATCCACAATAAAGCCCTGTACACACGGGCTGAATATCATTCGGCCTGCATGTACAGCAGCTGGTCCGAGAGAAGCTGGCATGGTCTGCCGATCGGCATTCGATCAGCGCTCTCAGACAATGGCTGACAGGCGTGTTCTGGCAGTGGTGCCGTCCAACTTTCAGAACACAATAGCTCAGTGGTGAGATCACTGTTCTAACATCAGATTGTTAGTACAGGATCTCCTCCCAAGCTCTACTGGTTTTTTTTTTTTTTTTTTTCCTTCAGCCTGCTGGGTTGAACAAAAAAACTGATAGTGTGTACTAGGCTTAAGCTTTCTCTGCAACTCTAATGACAAGCTCCAACTCTGCATCTTATCCCAGTGGAACATAATCAGCTACCTCTCCTCTATCTTTCACCAGACAATAATGACTTCTAACATGTCCTCTATTCCACCAATGGTCTGTGGCAGGCTCCTGTTCAGCCTCCTCTATCCCTGCTAACAATCATATCTCACCCTGCAACCCCCTCCTCCTTACCCCAGCCTCAGTCCTTGATCACGTCCTTGTTACTTTCTGCTTGGCTTGCAGTCAGTTGTCACTTCTCTGTCTGTTTTCCATCTCTTTGCCATGATCAGCTTCTATTCTGCCTCCTATGCTTTCCTGCCCTTCAGGTACATGTATACATACCCCTCGTATACGTGGGGCCGTGGGCAATGCCTCAGCCGCTTATTATTAGCCCAGTACAGTGACATCTTTTAAACGGGATTGCTTAGATGGGTTCAGACAAGGATCCGGAGCTCATCCCTACTCTCTTATCAGCCAGTACTCTTGCCAGTACTCTGCTACAGCCTGGCACTGCCTAGCTTCTACTCATGACCCCCATCTTATTGCCATTCCAGTCAATACTCAGCACTTTTGTCAAAGCCTGGCACTGACACCATCCCCTCTTTCCTTTTCTCAGCTAGATCCCTATAACCAACCAGTTCTGTGCCATAACCTGGTACCACCATCCTATTAATAAAACAGAGGGCGCACTGGCCTATTGCAATTTCCTTAAAAAATGGCTTTAATGTATAAAATGGTAAGGGTTATACTCACAAAATGGACTATCTCATGAAAGTAGCACAATACAATGCGTAAAACATCAAGATGTAACAGAACGATGGAATCTCAACAGGCTGATGAGTTTTGAGGATTTATCCTTTTCCTCAGCCCCATTTGTTCAGTCTACTATCAGCTCTAGATCTGCCCTCCCCTATCTCTAGTCTACAGTTAGCTCCAGATCTGCCTCCTCTATCTGTATTTTATGAGCTCCAGATTTGCCTCCACTATCTCTCATCTACAATCAGCTCCAGATCTGCCTAGTGTACTATCAGCTCTAGATCTGCCTCCTATATCTCTAGTTCATGAGCTCCAGATCTGCCTCCTCTTATCTCTAGTCTACAATCGGCTCCTGATCTGCCTCCTCTATCTCTCATCTACAATCAGCTCCTGATCTGCCTCCCCTATCTCTCGTCTACAATCAGTTCCAGATCTGCCTCCTATATCTCTAGTCCATGAGCTCCAGATCTGCCTCCTGTTATCGCTCATCTAAAATCAGCTCCAGATCTGCTTCCTATATCTCTAGTCCATGAGCTCCAGATCTGCCTCCTCTTATCTCTAGTCTATGAGTTCCAGATCTGCCTCCACTATCTCTCGTCTACAATCAGCTCCAGTTCTGCCTCTTATATCTCTAGTCCATGAGCTCCAGATCTGCCTCCTCTTATCTCTAGTCTACCACCAGCTCCAGATCTGCCTCATCTCTGGCCAATCCACAATAAAGCCCTGTACACACGGGCTGAATATCATTCGGCCTGCATGTACAGCAGCTGGTCCGAGAGAAGCTGGCATGGTCTGCCGATCGGCATTCGATCAGCGCTCTCAGACAATGGCTGACAGGCGTGTTCTGGCAGTGGTGCCGTCCAACTTTCAGAACACACAATAGCTCAGTGGTGAGATCACTGTTCTAACATCAGATTGTTAGTACAGGATCTCCTCCCAAGCTCTACTGGTTTTTTTTTTTTTCCTTCAGCCTGCTGGGTTGAACAAAAAAAACTGATAGTGTGTACTAGGCTTAAGCTTTCTCTGCAACTCTAATGACAAGCTCCAACTCTGCATCTTATCCCAGTGGAACATAATCAGCTACCTCTCCTCTATCTTTCACCAGACAATAATGACTTCTAACATGTCCTCTATTCCACCAATGGTCTGTGGCAGGCTCCTGTTCAGCCTCCTCTATCCCTGCTAACAATCATATCTCACCCTGCAACCCCCTCCTCCTTACCCCAGCCTCAGTCCTTGATCACGTCCTTGTTACTTTCTGCTTGGCTTGCAGTCAGTTGTCACTTCTCTGTCTGTTTTCCATCTCTTTGCCATGATCAGCTTCTATTCTGCCTCCTATGCTTTCCTGCCCTTCAGGTACATGTATACATACCCCTCGTATACGTGGGGCCGTGGGCAATGCCTCAGCCGCTTATTATTAGCCCAGTACAGTGACATCTTTTAAACGGGATTGCTTAGATGGGTTCAGACAAGGATCCGGAGCTCATCCCTACTCTCTTATCAGCCAGTACTCTTGCCAGTACTCTGCTACAGCCTGGCACTGCCTAGCTTCTACTCATGACCCCCATCTTATTGCCATTCCAGTCAATACTCAGCACTTTTGTCAAAGCCTGGCACTGACACCATCCCCTCTTTCCTTTTCTCAGCTAGATCCCTATAACCAACCAGTTCTGTGCCATAACCTGGTACCACCATCCTATTAATAAACAGAGGGCGCACTGGCCTATTGCAATTTCCTTAAAAAATGGCTTTAATGTATAAAATGGTAAGGGTTATACTCACAAAATGGACTATCTCATGAAAGTAGCACAATACAATGCGTAAAACATCAAGATGTAACAGAACGATGGAATCTCAACAGGCTGATGAGTTTTGAGGATTTATCCTTTTCCTCAGAGGGCTCTGCGGATGAAGATAAGTTCTCGAAACTCGTCAGCCTGTTGAGAGGTGGGCTCTGAGGAAGAGGATAAGTCCTCGAAACTTGTCAGCCTGTTGAGAGGTGGGCTCTGAGGTAGAGGATAAGTCCTTGAAACTAGGACTTGTTGAGAGGTGGGCTCTGAGGAAGAGGATAAGTCCTTGAAACTAGGACTTGTTGAGAGGTGGGCTCTGAGGAAGAGGATAAGTCCTCGAAACTCGTCAGCCTGTGGAGAGGTGGGCTCTGAGGAAGAGGATGAGTCCTCGAAACTCGTCATCCTGTTGAGGGGTGGGATCTGAGGAAGAGGGTAAGTCCTCGAAACTCGTCAGCCTGTTGAGAAATGGGCTCTGAGGAAGAGGATAAGTCCTTGAAACTCGTCAACCTGTTGAGAGGTGGGATCTGAGGAAGAGGATAAGTCCTTGAAACTCGTCAGCCTGTTGAGAGGTGGGCTCTGAGGAAGAGGATAGAAGTCCTTGAAACTCGTCAGCCTGTGGAGAGGTGGGCTCTGAGGAAGAGGATAAGTCCTTGAAACTCATCAGCCTGTTGAGAATCCATCGTTCTGTTACATGTTGATGTTTTGCGGATTGTATTGTGCTGCTTTCATGAGATGAACATGCACTTTAGTCCATTTTGTGAGTACAATACTTACCATTTTATACTTCATAGCCAGTGCGCCCTCTGTCTGTTTATTATTACAGTGCCTCTAGACTCCCCCAGTCTTGTGAGGGCAGCAAGGCGTCATCCTCATCCCATGAGGACCAAGACTACAGCCCACTAACCTTTTGGGCCTACTCTCCAAGCGCAGAAGTATTAAAGTTTTTCCAGTTCATTACCACCATCCTAACCCATCTGCCAGTGCCCACTGCCCGCTCCTTCCATCATCCTATTGCCTGTTTCTTTGTATAACCAGCCAATACTCCACACTGTGGCACTGACACCCCTCTTTCCCTTTATGTGCTATATTATCCAGCCAGTATGGTGCCGAAGCCTGGTCCCGCCGCCTGGTACTGTTCCACCTGGCACTGTCCACCTCCTCCATCCTTCCTCTATCCTGTCCCCTCCTCCTCTCTATAGCCAGCCAGTAGCCAGTACTCTGCCCCAGCCCGGCTTTGCTCAGCAGTTTCCTTTCTTGTTGTCTTTCTTTAGATTGCAGCAAATCCACCAGAATGAAGAGACACTTTTCTTCCGCGACGACCCTCACTGGAGATGGAGTGACTTCACCTCCCACCCTCGTGTCCTCCTGTATGCTGACCGCACTGGGGTGCAGGCTGTAGACAGTCGGGTAAGCACCTCTTGGTGATTTCATGACATTGGCATTAGTTCTGTGTGCAACCGCGTTCACATCACAACTCTGTGGGGATCTCCTAGCCTACAGTACAATTTCAGCTAAAACCTAACTAGATCTATAGCTGTCCCCTCCCTCCTCCTAACACCTATGCCTACTAACCTGTGCAAAAAAAAAAATATATATATATATATATATATACAGTTGCAAGAAAAAGTATGTGAACCCCTTGGGATTACGTGGAGTTTTTGCATGAATTGGGCATAAAATGTGCTCTGAACGTCATCTAAGTCACAACAATAGAAGAACACAGTCTGCTGAACATAATACTACACAAACATTAGATGTTGCCATGGTTTAATTGCACATAACATGTAAACATTCACAGTGCAGGGAGGAAAAAGTATGTGAGGCCCTAGCTTAATGACTTCTCCCAGAGCTAATTGGAGCCAGGAGTGAGCCAACCTTGACTCCAATCAGTGTGAGGATATTGGATGTGTTGCTGACAGCTGTCCTGCCCTTAAAAAACACACACCTGTTTTGGGTTTACTGGTTTCAAGAAGCACTGTCTGATGTGAACCATGCCTCGCAGAAAAGAGCTCTCAGAAGACCTACGATCAAGAATTGTTGACTTGCATGAAGCTGGAAAGGGTTACAAAAGTATCTCCAAAAGCCTTGATGTTTCATGTGTCCACGGTAAGACAGACTGTCTACAAAAGGAGAAAGTTTAGCACTGTTGCTACTCTCCCTAGGCGTGGTCGTCCTGTAAAAATGACTGCAAGAGCACAGCGCAGAATGCTGCATGAGGTAAAGAAGAATCCCAGAGTGTCAGCTAAAGACCTACAGAAATCTCTGGCACATGCTAACATTTTTGTTGACACATCTACAATAAGGAAAACATTAAACAAGAATGGAGTACATGGGAGGACACCACGGAGGAAGCCATTGCTGTCCAAAAAGAATATGGCAGCACGTTTGAAGTTTGCAAAAGAGCACCTGGATGTTCCACAGCACTACTGGCAAAATATACTGTGGACAGATGAAACCAAGACTGAGTTGTTTGGGAAGAACACACAACGCTATGTGTGGAGGAAAAAGGGCACAGCACACCAACATCAAAACCTCATCCCCACTGTGAAACATGGCGGAGGGAGCATCATGGTTTGGGGCTGCTTTGCTGCCTCAGGGCAGCCTGGAGGGATTGTTGTCATTGATGGGGAAATGAATTCCAGAGTTTATCAAGACATTTTGCAGGAAAACATACGATTATCTGTCCGCCAACTGAAGCTCCGCAGAGGATGGGTGATGCAACAGGACAATGACCCAAAGCATACAAGTAATTCAACAAAACAATGGCTACAACAGCACAGAATACGCCTTCTGGAGTGGCCCAGTCAGAGTCCTGACCTCAACCCGATTGAAATGCTGTGGCATGACCTTAAGAGAGCGATTCACACCAGACATCCCAAGAATATTGCTACACTGAAACAGTTTTGTGAAGAGGAGTGGTCCAAAATGACTCCAGATCATTGTGCAGGTCTGATCTGCAACTACAGGAAACGTTTGGTTGAGGTTATTGCTGCCAAGGAGGGTCAACCAGTTATTAAGTCCAAAGGTTCACATACTTTTTCCTCCCTGCACTGTGAATGTTTACATGTTATGTGCAATTAAACCATGGAAACATCTAATGTTTGTGTAGTATTATGTTCAGCAGACTGTGTTCTTCTATTGTTGTGACTTAGATGACGTTCAGAGCACATTTTATGCCCAATTCATGCAAAACTCCACGTAATCCCAAGGGGTTCACATACTTTTTCTTGCAACTGTTTACAGTGGGTAAAGTAAAAATTGAACATGTCACCATTTTTTTTCCGGTAAATATGTTTTTTAAAAGGTGCTATTGACATTAAATTTTCACCACGTCGGTAACAACCCATGAAATCCATACATGCAAAGAAACCAAAACAAATAAAGTAAGTTCAGAAATTAAGTTATATGTAATAAAAAATGGAATGGCACAGGGAAAAATTATTGAACACATGAAGAAAGGGAGATGCAAATGTAATTTGTTTTTTAACCCCCTACCTCCCCTAGTCCTAACCCTCTACCTTCTCTAGTCCTAACCATCTACCTCCTCTAGTCCTAACCCCCTACCTCCTCTAGTCCTAATCCCTTACCTCCTCCAGTCCTAACCCCCTACCTCCTCTAGTCCTAACCCCCTACCTCCTCTAGTCCTAACCCCCTACCTCCTTTAGTCCTAACCCCCTACCTCCTCTTGTTCTAACCACCTACCTTCTCTAGTCCTAACCTCTTGCCTCCTCTAGTCCTAACCTCTTGCCTCCTCTAGTTCTAACCCCCTACCTCCTCTAGTTCTAACCCCCTACCTCCTCTAGTCCTAACCTCTTGCCTCCTCTAGTCCTAACCCCCTACCTCCTGTAGTTCTAACCCCCTACCTCCTCTAGTCCTAACCTCTTGCCTCCTCTAGTCCTAACCTCCTACCTCCTCTAGTCCTAACCTCCTACCTCCTCTAGTCCTAACCTCCTACCTCCTCTAGTCCTAACCCCCACCTCCTCTAGTCCTAACCTCCTACCTCCTCTAGTCCTAACCTCCTACCTCCTCTAGTCCTAACCCCCTACCTCCTCTAGTCCTAACCCCCTACCTCCTCTAGTCCTAACCTCCTACCTCCTCTAGTCCTAACCTCCTACCTCCTCTAGTCCTAACCTCCTACCTCCTCTAGTCCTAACCCCCACCTCCTCTAGTCCTAACCTCCTACCTCCTCTAGTCCTAACCTCCTACCTCCTCTAGTCCTAACCCCCTACCTCCTCTAGTCCTAACCCCCTACCTCCTCTAGTCCTAACCTCCTACCTCCTCTAGTCCTAACCTCCTACCCCCCCTCTAGTCCTAACCTCCTACCTCCTCTAGTCCTAACCCCCTACCTCCTCTAGTCCTAACCCCCTACCTCCTCTAGTCCTAACCTCCTACCTCCTCTAGTCCTAACCTCCTACCTCCTCTAGTCCTAACCCCCTACCTCCTCTAGTCCTAACCCCCTACCTCCTCCTCTAGTCCTAACCCCCTACCTCCTCTAGTCCTAACCCCCACCTCCTCCCCCACCTCCTCTAGTCCTACCCCCTACCTCCTCTAGTCCTAACCTCCTACTTCCTCTAGTCCTAACCACTTGCCTCCTCTAGTCCTAACCTCCAACCTCTATTCCTAACCTCCTACTTCCTCTAGTCCTAACCTCCTACTTCCTCTAGTCCTAACCTCCTACTTCCTCTAGTCCTAACCTCCAACCTCCTCTAATCCTAAGCTCCTACCCTCCTCTAGTCCTAACCCCCTACCTCCTCTAGTCCTGATCTCCTACCTCCTCTAGTCCTGACCCCCTACCCCCTCTATTCCTAACCTCCTACTTCCACTAGTCCTAAGAATTTGCTGCCCTAAAAAACAATACTGGGATGATGCTTGTAGCTGCAGGCAGGAAGGAATTTCTTCCCCTACAGGAGCAGATTGGATCATGCTTTGCTGGTTTTTTGCCTTCCTCTGGATCAACTGTGGGTGTAGGATTATAACTTTTTTTTCATGGTTGAACTGGATGGACTTTAGTCTTTTTTTTTAGCCAGACTAACTATGAAGCAGTTATCATCACGGTATAACCACTGAAAGTCCAGGACGTCATGCAGTAAATGGTTAAATATTGTCTTTTTGTGTGTATCCTTATCCAGGAGATAAATTCACGAACGTTCAGGTGATGTGTTGTCTCCTCAGGTGGAAGGTGGTCAGGGCTTGGACCTGTTTCGTATTGGTCAGGAGTCGTCATCCCACAGAGGAGAGAGGATGATATTATCCCGCTGTCTGAGGGAGACTGAACCAGCTCAATTCCTGGTGACCACACAGGTACCGCTTCTTCTGTAGGGCGAAGTACAGGAAAAGGAGATGCAATCAGATCAGAGGGTTGGAGAGATGATTCACGCAGGAAATAAATACTCCCTTGCAATAGATCTTTTCAAAATCAGCCATATTTGCAGGGCCGTAGATAAGGGGGTACCACCAGTCCTACATTACGGGGCCAGCAACTGGATGAATCAGATGTGAGCGGGGGGCAATTACTGGAACCGATCCCCATGTATGGCTCTCTGCAGCAGCTGAAAACCAGCGGGAGGGAGAGGAGAAGTCAGCTTTCAGCTGCTGTAGAGAGCCATACATGGGGAATCGATTCCAGTTAAAGTGCTACTAAACCACGGGCCCTGCATTTACTATATCCGGTCTCCCCGGACCCTGCATTCACTATATCCGGTCTCTCCGGGCCCCGCATTCTCTATATCCGCTCTCCTCGGACCCTGCATTCACTATATCCGCTCTCCCCGGACCCTGCATTCACTATATCCGCTCTCCCCGGACCCTGCATTCACTGTATCTGATCTCCCCGGACCCTGCATTCACTATATCCGCTCTCCCCGGACCCTGCATTCACTATATCCGCTCTCCCCAAAACCCTGCATTCACTATATCTGGTCTGTGAGGACCCTGCATTCCCTATATCTGGTCTCCACAGACCCTCCATTCACTATATCTGGTCTCCCTGGACCCTGCATTTACTATATCCACTCTCCTTGGACCCTGCATTCACTATATCTGATCTCCCCGGACCCTGCATTTACTATATCCGCTCTCCCCGGATCCTGCATTCACTATATCCCCTCTCCCCAGACCCTGCATTCACTATATCCGGTCTCCCGGACCCTGCATTCCCCCCCCCGCCCCCCCCCCCCCCCCGGTCTCCCCGGACCCTGCATTCACTATATCCGCTCTCCCCAGACCCTGCATTCACTATATCTGGTCTCCGCGGACTCTCCATTCACTATATCTGGTCTCCCCGGACCCTGCATTCACTATATCCGCTCTCCCCGGACCCTGCATTCACTATATCTGCTCTCCCCGGACCCTGCATTCACTATATCTGGTCTCCCTGGACCCTGCATTCACTATATCTGCTCTCCCCGGACCCTGCATTCACTATATCCGCTCTCCCTGGACCCTGCATTCACTATATCCGCTCTCCCCGGACCCTGCATTCACTATATCCGCTCTCCCCGGACCCTGCATTCACTATATCTGCTCTCCCCGGACCCTGCATTCACTATATCCGGTCTCCCCGGACCCTGCATTCACTATATCCGCTTTCCCCGGACCCTGCATTCACTATATCTGCTCTCCCCCTGGACCCTGCATTCACTATATCTGCTCTCCCCGGACCCTGCATTCACTATATCTGCTCTCCCCGGACCCCGCATTCACTATATCTGCTCTCCCCGGACCCCGCATTCACTATATCTGGTCTCACACAGTACACACAACATGGAAATGCAATAATTTTAGTAAATGTAAACTGCTAAATACCTTTTCTCATCAGCAGTATATAGCAGTCTTGTGACTTCTATCAGTGTCCAGCAGAGCACTGATAAAGCTTGTAGGAGGAGTTTTCATTCTCCCTTGATTGTCCTTTGACAGTGCCGATTGGCCCTGTGCTGATCATATGCACTCTCCCAAGAAAAAAAAACTCTAGCAATACACACCAAACTGCGCTTTTACAGAGTGTCCCCAATGCTCTGTTCTATCAGCAAATGGATTGGGGACAGTAGAAGAAGGGGAGGATCAAGGAAGACGGGATCAAACAGCTTTTTTAAACAATGCAGAGTATTAACCCCTTAGGTTCCACAGTGAGTATAACAAGCTGCTTTACTGTATATACAGACTGATTTTATTATTGGTTCAGTAACACTTTAAATCTCCCCTGCTGCACCCATCACCCTCCCTGTGCACCATACCTCCCCCCCCCCCCCCGTGTGCCCCCACCCCAGCAGAGCTGTTGGCTTCCCTCCTCTCCTTCCTGCTGGCAGCTGCAAGCACACATTAGGAAGCTTCAGGATGGAGAGTGGGGGAAGGGTCAGGTAAATATGTCACTTTTACCAGCCCATTTTGTTTGAATGAACACAATGAGTGATCAGTACTTATTCACTGTTCATTCGTACCTGAAGCATAGTAAACTTTTTTTTTTTTTTTTTTGAGGCGGGGGGGTTTGGTCGCCTGTCAGGTTGGCTGTATGGGGCCCCGTGGTTTCTAACAGCAGCCCCGCATTTTAGCCAGACATGCTGGCTATTTATTCTCAGTAGAATGGATGAAATGCCGCTATTGTCTCCTTCCTGAACAAGGTTGGGTCCTACAGGACATAGTGGTGATGTCGGGTCTAGCTCACAGAGGGGTACCAGGCATAGCCAGACGTCTGATTCTAAGGATTTTTCTGCAAGCTCTTCCGAGGCAGTAAGGATCTCTGATTATTAATGCTTTTCTTTGCTGGGGGCAAATTGGAAATGTTTTCTAGTCTAGTGAAGGGTCTCTAGAACGGACCTCCCAAGATCATTTCTATGTGTCCCCATTGCTTCTTATCCTCAATAAAACATAGATTTAATGTAAAATCACCATATAAATGTGCATGACGTCATTGCTGTAGAATGCAGCTATCCCTGGTTACAGGCCTTGGCAGGTTATGGGGTTAACTCCAGCTCCCCCCGGGTTTAACCACTTCTCGTCCGGCCGTTGTATATAAACAGCCTCCCGCCCCCTGCTTGTGCGCGCTCCCTGTGAGCGCGCAGCACCGCGATATGGTGCCCGCTGTGTCCTCCGGATACAGTGGAACACCGATCGTCGTACAGGACCTCTGCGCGAAGTCCCGATCATGTGATCACTGATTGGCCAATCAGTGATCACATGCAGTGTAGTAAGCAAGATGTCACTTGTGACATCATTGCTTACTACGTGTGAAATCTGTGAATGATCACAGAGGTCACATGGTACAGGGCTATTCACAACAGCCTTGTACCATGTGACAAGCTGTGACCAATCACAGCTCACACAGTAGCTCTCAATAGCTGCAAGAATGCAGCCAGAGAGAGAAGGAGAAATGATTGCTTTTAAAGCCTTTATGGCTGTAAAAAAAAAAAAAAATCTTCATCACCCCCACAAGTAGTAGTAGTATGACAGTATGTTAATTAGAAAAAAAAAACATAAATAATAAAAAAAAAAATGTAAAAAAAATGTTTACAAATTATAATTTTTGGTTATAAACTAATTTGTGTTTTTTTTGTACTAAAAAGATAACAAGAATAAATTTGGGCAAGATTTATGATGAAATATTTATTTGCTAAATTTTATAAGAAAAAAACTTTTTTTCAAAATTTTGGGACTTTTTCATTTACATAGCAAAAAATAAATAAAAATCCCAGCGGTGAATAAATACCACCAAAATAAAGCTTTATCTGTCTCAAAAAAATGCTAAAAAAGTTCATATGGGTGTTGCATGACCACGCAATTGTCATTCAAAGTGTGATAGCACTGAAAGCTGAAAATTGGCCAGGACAGGAAGGGGGTGAAAGTGTCCGGACTAGAAGGGGGTGAAAGTGTCCGGACTGGAAGGGGGGGAAAGTGTCCGGACTGGAAGGGGGGGAAAGTGTCCAGACCGGAAGGGGGGGAAAGTGTCAAGACTGGAAGGGGGGAAGGGGGTGAAAGCGTCCGGACTGGAAGGGGTTGAAAGTGTCCGGACTTGAAGGGGGGGGGACTGGAAAGAATGTGTCCGGACTGGAAGGGGGTGAAAGTGTCCGGACTGGAAGGGGAGAATGTGTCCGGACTGGAAGGGGGGTGAAAAAGTGTCCGGACTGGAAGGGGGGGGGGGAAGTGTCCGGACAGGAAGGGGGGTGAAGGTGTCTGGACTGGGAAGGGGGTGAAAGTGTCCGGACTGGAAGGGGGTGATGAAGTGTCCGGACTGGAAGTGGTTAAGGCATCTCTGGTTCACCACTGCTGTCACTTTATACCTCAAAAGGCTTCTTGTCTCACCAGCCGCTCGCTCAGTATAGAAAATAAAGAAAAGCAAACGCCATTGTTAAAAAAAAACTCCTTGTGACGAAACGCGTTGGTGACAGCTGTGAGTCAGATGTTCTTGGAACCCTGAGGCTGCATATCGGTTGTTACTCTCTCTGCCTAAATGTGAGTGCTATTTTATACCAAAATAAAGGATTTTTTATGATATGCTTTTCTGTATTTACTGAGCAACAGGTTTGATAACAAGTCCATCGGAGCATAAGGTGACAACAGTGGCGAGTCAGAGGTGCCTTAACCCAGAGGGAAGGTGGAGTTAGTCCTATAATCTACTGAGGGGTGCTGGACTGACCTAAGAGGGGTGTCAGAAGTTGCTTTTAAACCCTATAATTATCGAGTGCTTATGTACATTTGGTGTGCATGCTATAATTTTATATATATATACACACACTGCTCGAAAAAAATGAAAGGAACACTTTGAAACCCCATCAGATCTCAATGGGGAGGAATCTCCTGCTGGATCTCTATACTGACATGGACGGGGGATGGGTGAGGAACGTAAGGACGCCCCATCGTTCGATAGAAATGAAAATGATCGACCTACAGAGGACTGAATTCAAAGACACCCCGAAAATCAAAGTGAAAAAATGATGCAGCGGGCGAGTCCATTTTGATGAAATTTCATTGCAGCAACTCAAAATGGTTGAAACTGGATGGACTTTTGTCTTTTTTCAGCCAGACTAACTATGTAAGAATGGTCCTCAGTAGTTTGTGTGGCCCCCACTTGCTTGTATGCATGCCTGACAACGTTGGGGGAGGCTCCTAATGAGACCACGGATGGTGTCCTGGGGGATTTCCTCCCAGATCCGGACCAAGGCATCACTGAGATCCTGGACAGTCTCAGGTGCACCCTGGCGGGCGTCGGATGGACCGAAACATGACATCCCAGAGGTGTTCTATTGGATTTAGGTCAGGCGAGCATGGGGGCCATTCAGTGGTATCAATTCCTTCATCCTCCAGGAACG